AATCAGGCTCGAAGTTCTGTGACCAGTTGCTGATCTACAATGTATTTCAAAGACCACAGGAATGGAGCTTTAGAAGCTTGCATAACTCACTTGCATCCACCACTGAAGTCGCTTTTTGAACCACGTATCGTAAGCTCGACCAAACAGCTTAATGTTGGGAATAAAAAATAGCTCACAACACGTCGTATACGGTAGCGGACTAAACGAAAACTCCGGATCAGCACGCTTTGGGGCGAACAGTGGAAATATACTTACTTAAAAAACGCTTTAAGAGTCTTCTGTTTTGATGAGGAAGCAACTTTGCGAGTGATTCCAGCAACACAATAAGGAGGATCCAACAAAAGGCTCGATTTCAATAACCTGAATGACTGGTCAACGACTGAAATAAAATATCAATGTACTTGACGTGCAAGAGATCAGAGAATCGTAGAAACAGACATACTTTTCAGCAGATAACAGAAATGCGATTAACATTCAGGAAATATTGTTTTCCGAATCAGTGCGTTCATCTGGTGCTTTTCGGTAATGTCGGCGCTTAGTGATTGGGGCACAATATTCTGTCGTCGAGAAAGCAAGAGAAAGATTTGAAGCGCGTGGAACGCTGGTTTCTGTGATCACGAAATTCTCGCGATTCATTTTATCGACTGGTAACTGAATAGAGCAAATATGATCAAAGCTCACAGTTCGATCAACTGGTGGTATAATGCTTCGAGAATCTGAAGGTCAATTTAAATTATTTAATATGAAACCAGGGGGTAAATAAGTCACATCACAATAGCTTACGTCGGTTTTTGGTTTATGTCATTATTATTAGTATTATTATTTAATTAAAATCTGCATTTTTTGTAGAGTTTTAAGATAACGCGACAGAATCGTTGGAATCAGTGCCATAGGCAAAGAGAACAGTGTGGAAGTACAAAAGTTTAGGGTGGACAAGATTTAACATCGTTAAACTCATTGCAAGTGCACTTATAAAGCGCAATAACTTACCCGACAACAGTTCCGGCGATTGTCCACAACACTCTGTATCGCCTTTAGGAGGAACTGTCACGCTGTCTGGCAAGCAGCAAAGTAGCGCGCCTTCGGACTGGACTGAACGAAGCCTGAGAAGAATGCAGCACAAAAACTAAATGAAGGTAACGCAAATATCACGTATATACCAGCTATCCATGATAGTCTTTTTCAGCATCACGCCGAGAGGACCAAGATTAACACCATTTGGTGTTT